TCCACAGTTATGCGATTTATAAATACGGTCTTTTACATCCCCTGTTCTCACTTGTGTACTGCTGGAGTATTGACATACTGTAGAATGGCATGGATTGGATAATCTTCTAGTTTATAATGGATTGTGAATCATACTATTTTTAGACATACAGTATCTGCCAGCTACGAGTTAATCTGAACCGACGCTGTAACATACTGAGCAAGGGGTTCAAGGGTTAACAAGCATTATATTCACGGCCATCAATACAGAAAGGGAGGGGTCAGGTTGGAGGGATTTATGTAGCCATAACATCCATTTGTCTCTGTCCATCACAAACACAAATAATGACTGGCCTCCCACCTGACAAATGGCCACAGCAGATGGACAGAATGAAGTGTGGCTTTGCCTACAAATCTATATGTTGCTTGCAATGTCTGCTATTTGTTTTACCACTGGTTACATCATTTACAGGTTATACAAATTGCAATCAAGTGATTGCTGCAATCGATACCACATTGTAGTTATGTTAGCAGATTACAGATGTCCTGTTATGAAAAGACAGGTGTTCAAAGGTTTCTTGTAGCACTTTGTTAAAGTAGAAAAACAAAATGTTTTTTATTGAAGTGCGGGTCTTTTATGTGCTGCAGTGAAAATAGCATCTACAAATTCTGATGTGGCTTTATGATTACTTTCTCTCTCCCTCTTTGGCTTTGAATTGTAAATCTCACATTGTAAATCGAGCTCTTCTGCTTTCCTTTGCTTCATTCCAACATTCACTGTGTTGTTCTCTCTCGACCTTTCAAGTTCACCATCACACTCACCTTTTTTCCATCACACCAACCCCTAGAGTGAGTGAAAGTGTTTGGATTCTCGTTGCATCATTTCCCAAATGACTTGACCTTAATACATGATAAAACAACCTGAGAAGGAACATGTAGGTTTTTGTGCATCAAAGAATCATGGGTGTCATGAGACTCCTGTCAATATGTGTGTACCCTTTCCTTCACGTATCTTTTCCTCCTCCTTTTCCATAACCCAGAAGTAAGGAACAGTTAACAACATGTATATTTCTGTTTATCACACGTAGATGTTTTCTTTTATGTCAAATTAGCAACACAGGGACAAACATATTTCCTTTTCATTGCCTGACCTGCTCTACCCCACATACAGTATAGATGTAACAATGCAGAATCATAAATGAAGCCACTCCCATCACAACACCCATGAGAAATCACTTGCCATTGCACCTAGCCTCAGATCCCTTGCCCTTTAGCTTCCATCCTCCTCATCACAGGAGAGATCCTCTGAGACCGGGGGAACAGCTGCGTGAAGCTCCATGATCCAGCCTAAGAGACCCAGCCCAGCTTAGTCTATCCTTGCCTTATATGCATAAATGATCCCAAAGGCAGAGGCCACATCATGCAGGTTGCATTAACTTATGCACTCTGTTTTGCTTAAAGGGTGTCCAAAACATTTCTGTACAGAAGCCTTAATCATGTTTCATTCAATTGTTTCATTTTAGTTCAAATTGTTTCCATATGAAAATAATAGAATGAGGACTCACAGGTCTCCTGCCCCCATTTTGATTGTATTATGCATGCTGGAAAAACATGGCACATACTGTGCATATTTCAAAGTACATACACATTTGTATGCATGCTTACACATCGATGAATACGCATGAACACAGCACTGATAGATGTGAGCATACAAGCCTGTTTTCATACGCATCATTGCATGCTTGCACACATGCGCAGATGATGGCACAAACACACATTTAACCCTTGTATGGTGTTCATATTTTTGTTACTCAGCCGGTGTTCGTGGGTCTGGTGGACCCGCTGCCTTTTTGGGCTTCAATTCAACACAATCAAACTATTTTATGTTAAAATACTCAACAGATGTTTACTTCATCTCAATTACAAGCAATATAAACAGTATGGTTAATATTTGCTCTTTTACATGTGTTAGATCACATTAATGAATTCAAGTGCTACTTGTTTTTTTGCCCGCTGACCGGCTGGTCCTGTGGCTCGTCTTTTTTTTGTAACTAGCTGATGCTCAATCTCATCCTCTTCTTCAAAGTCACTGTCAGACTCTGAATTCTCAGAAATGTGATCCTCGCATTCTGAAGCCTCTTCCTCTTCCTCATCATCAAATGGTTCACTCTCGTCCAGAATCATATGCAAGGCCCTCTGAGCAGAGAATCTGTTGGCCATCTTGATCAGTTGTGATAAGGACCCAAACTGGCGACGCTTTATTTATTGTGTCTTGCCCCAAATTTGCAGCTGGGATAGAGTGTGAAAAGAATAAAGATTGGGTCCCGCAAAACACAATGCGGGAATGTGAGAGCAGACAGGTGTCTGTGCTTGAATTTATCAACAATGTTGCAACCTTGTGCGGGAATGACAGGGGCAGAAACACAAAAGTCTCACACACACACACACACACACGCACACACGCACACGGCCCAGACAGGTGCACGGGACCTACAATTTTCACACTTTTGTTAGCCCCGGATACCCTGTAATGTATGTGTAGGGGGTGCAGTGGGTGGTCATTGAAAATGTGTTCTGATATATGTTCTTCACAGAAAATGACCCAAGGTCATTGAATGTGGGTTTACATTTTTTTTGTATCATATCATTTTTCTTTTATCTTTAGCTAAATAATGAAAACGTGTCCCACAGACCCGAATACCATACAAGAGTTAAATATACAATATAATCTACTCAAATATGCTCAACAAGCAGAGCTAATTGTATGCTGACTGATGTAATGCAACAGCACCATCTTCTGTTCTGGAGAAAAACTGCAAGACTGCAGCAAATGTGTGAACAAGTGGTCCTTTTCTTTTTTCTCTCCTAACTATCTGTTGGCAGGCTGCTGAGTCATCCAGATCAATGATATCTTCCATCTGATCCAATAACCATGTGAATAACACTTGGGCATGTTTACCAGTATCTGTGTGTGTGCAAGCTGTTGAGCTGACTAAAACCCACCCACGTACACACCAAGCCAAGGCTGTGAGCCTGAGGTTTCTCTTGCTTCATTTGAACAATATATCAGCCGTTCTCAGCCCACATTTATTCTCCTGCCTCTACTTTTCCACTCCGTTTACCACCGTTTTTTTCCTTATTCACCACCTTACGCTTGCCCTTCATTTTATTTTCCCTCAGCCACACACACACACACACACACACACACACACACACACACACACACACACACACACACACACACACACACACACACACACACACACACACACCTTTGTATCTTCTTTGGATCTTTCACTCGTATTTTTTGTTTCACCCACACTTCCCTTTCTTTATTTCTCTCCCCTCCCTCTACAACATTTTCTCCCACCCCTCCTCTCTGGTTCTCGATCTCTATCGGTCTCCTCAGTCGTCCCTTGGCATCTCCCTCCGCCTCTCTCTGCCTCTGCCTGATGTCATAGCAACCGCAGTGTAAGATCCAGGGCTTGCCCATCATTCTGTCAAACATGACAGAGACAGCCAGACACATGAGAACTAGAGGTGGTGGAGTAGAGGGATGGAGGTGACAGAAAGGGAATTAACCACATTACAGTAGGGTCAATGCCTTATTTGGGCTATTTGACAAGCTGTGGGCAAGGTCGGCTTCAGGCTGCAGTATTTGTAATGATATGACTCACTGTGGCATGGTGCAGCAAACTGACTATAAAGCAATGCAGGAGGGTTAGAATGAACTGAAAGGCGTCATAGTGATGTGTCATAGGGCAGATACAGAAGGGTGAAAGAGATTTAGGACAGGGTAGTAAGGTGAAAGATATTTTAGAAAAAAAGGACGTGTGTGTGTGTGTGTGTGTGTGTGTGTGTGGCAATAGAGACAAAAGAGGATTGCAAAAACGAAGGAGGGGTGAACTAAGTGTAATATGCAAAAAAAGAGTGAGATACTAGTGATTTGCATTTTAAAGGTCTTTTGGCTCCATGCAACATGTGCTTACTTTTCATACACTCACACACACATACATACAGCCACATAATCTTGTTCTTTGGAAGAAATTAAAATGCAGTCTCTCACTGTGAAAAATGTGCAGCTCCAGCACCAAAGTGCCAGCTCCTGTCACGCATGAATCATCTCATAGATAGGACAATAGATGGTCATTTGGTTTTAATGCCCATTTAGCCTGACTCCCAACCAACATGAAATAACACTGTCCCCTAAGGCCAATTGGGACTACAGGAGCACACCAGACTTAATTATTATATCTTATCTGAGGTGTGTGGTTCAGGGAGCGTTGGTGAGTGCATGTGGATCATGGAGGCTTGTTGGGGGGCTGTTAGAAAACATACTGCATACTGTAAGGTCTTCCTTTTAATGGTTAGGCTATAACATGTGCCAATGTAAAACACATTGTGTATGTATTACACTAGTGACATCTTGTGGAGCAATTATGTAAAAGCAATATGCTTCCACCATCAGCCTAACAGTTTTTAAAAGAAGAGATTCAAGGTCTCTTTTCACTATCTTGTCTAAACAATGAATGAATGCTACAACCATGTTTTCCACTTCTTCTATAATGTATAGGCTATTCAAAAGCAATATTCTTTTTCAATTCAATATTACAGATCATGTCTATCCATGATCAATTTTAGAACTGATACAAGTAATAATACCAATGTAATTACTACTGACCAAATACCAATTCATCTAAATTGAATTGCAACCTTGAAAACTACCTTTCTCTTAAACGTTCAACAATATTAAGCAAACATTAATATATTAATACATCTTCCTGTTATTTCCAGTCGTCTTATAACATGTATTATTCAGAAGGTTTAAACACGTCATTCATTTATTATTTTTTAAACGCTAGACTAAACACCCCCACCATACGTATGCAAACGCCCAGACTTCCATAACAAGGTTTTTGTTTAACAAAAGCATGTCCAAAGGTGCTGCTGATTGAATCAATCTAACATTATGACCAGTACTGTTGTGCCTGGTTGGTGTTTGTGCAGGGGCTGTAGGCTGTAATGAATGAATGACATAACGAGCGAACCAGCGTCGATGGAGGAAACTAAAGAATGAATGGCACAGACGTCGTGTGCCTACGTCATCTATTCCTCTGCGGAAGGATATTTTCAGTTTTCTGAAGTGTAGTTCCGGGATCTGGAACTACTTTTCAGGATAGGAAGGGGAAAACGTTAAGCGTGTAAGGATACAGCGGAGAGACACGTCGCTAGCAGGTGCAATCACAAATACGAGGCGTATGATGGTATAGCATATGGCGTTTACAATTGTCTAACGCTAGAAAACCACAAACTATAACATTGTGCTTCCACTGGAATAATGTCACGGTAAGCTATGCTAGCAGGCTCTTGTCCACCTTTGTAGCCTATGTACCGTTAACTGTTGGCTAAAAGCAAAAGGTAGCATATTTGGCTAACAGCTGACAACTCTTAGTGAATACATTAATGTAACATTGGTCCTTGAGACGAATGTTAGTAGTTAAATCAATTCATAAACATTGTTTATTGTCGTAGTGCACGTTTTGTGTGGCTTAATAACAAATACATGTCAATGTAGTAGGTCAAATGTGTTGCCATTGAACATGTAAATATTCCTAATTTTATAGACTGCCTTTGACGTCAGCAGGGAGCCTTTGACGTAACGTCCAGCTAGCTTAATATGAAACATGTTGCTGTCTAAAGCATATCGACATAATGTTTACATACTTACATACGAGTTTGCTAAATACTTCCTTCGCAGCTGGAGTGATATATTTTTTTAATTTCTTGTGGCTTTATTTAACAACCGTTATTTATTTTTAGCATCATACCATCTTGGTTTATGGTTTAGTTTAAAGTAAATATCTTTATGTTACATTATAGCAGGCACTGCTTTCCTCTTTGATCAACCCCGAATACTGAAACCAGATGAGTCACTTGTTGCTTTATTTGATATCATGTTTTTTAAATAATAATCTGTGGTTCCGTAAAAACACCTCAGCTTAAAAGGAAATTGTTTTTAGAGCTGTCTCTTGTTATATACAGTATAGGTCCTTTCAATGTGTGTGTGTGTGTGTGTGTGTGTGTGTGTGTGTGTGTGTGTGTGTGGTGTGTGTGTGTGTGTGTGTGGTGTGTGTGTGTGTGTGTGTGTGTGTGTGTGTGTGTGTGTGTGTGTGTGTGTGTGTGTGTGTGTGTGTGTGTGTGTGTGTGTGTGTGTGTGTGGTGTGTGTGTGTGTGTGGTGTGTGTGGTGTGTGTGTGTGTGTGTGTGTGTGTGTGTGTGTGTGTGTGTGTGTGGTGTGTGTGTGTGTGTGTGTGTGTGTGTGTGTGTGTGTGTGTGTGTGTGTGTGGTGTGTGTGTGTGTGGTGTGTGTGTGTGTGTGTGTGTGTGTGTGTGTGTGTGTGTGTGTAAAAGAGAGACATGGTTGTGTAGGAGGGTGTTTTCACACGAGGGGAAAATGACTCACTATTGTTGTGGTTGCTCAGGAACAACTGGAGGAGGTGTTGGGAAGGGGAGGGGGTGTCGGGAAGGGGAGGGGGTGTCGTGGGGCTGGACACGTTAGAAATTGCTCTGCTGAAGTAAAAGGGAGACTTTACTTGCCTGTCTGTTCAGCAGGATGTTACTCTTTGTTTTACTTTCGGCAGGGGTGTTAGCCCACTGTGCAAACACAGGTGAGAGCAGCCGCTCCTCAATAATAGAAAATATGTTGTGGTGTTCAGAGTGAAATTGTAAAACATCCTAATATACATGTCCTCTAATTAGTTTTTTTTATTTTGTATTGTTGTTTCCGGGAGTTTCATATATTCTGTAAGGAGATTCACATCATGAGATTATACATTTTTATTAACAATGGCAGAGTTTGCAGTTGCTGTTTCTTTGGTATTGTTTGTATTTGGCCGCATTGTTGTGAACCATCGGGCAGCGCTGCTTTCTTTGTATCGGACTTTTGACAAGAGCCCATTAATGCAGGATTGTTTAGATGAATACTAAACATTCAATGTGTTTATGAAGATGATGATACGTCAGCTGATCACATTTTTAGGTGAACATTTCTGCTCTGTAACCTGTACATGTATTTATTAAAAAGGATTAAGGATGTACTGAGAAAGAGAGAGAAACATTTTAAATTGTACTTAATACATTTCATAGAATATCTTATTTATAAGAAGAAAACTATTTGATGTACATTTTGGAGCCTATATTTTTGAAGATATGTATTTGGAGGGTAACGTCAACCACAGTAACATCTGATACCCACCAAGCTACAAGCCATCATGTTGTAAACTAAATAGTTTGATACAATTTGCATATTTGAGGATGCAAAATAAATGGCTGATTTATTTATGTTCATTTACTAATTGATGTATTAACTAGTACAAAACAATAAATCCTTATTGTCCACCCGTGTGGAAATATGTCTGCTAATCATTTAATGTGTAACTCGTGCTCCCCGCTGCAGCACCATTTTGCAGTGTATTGTCCATATGTGTGCGGAAAGGGCTTAGTCGTGTTGGTTTTCTTGGCAGGTGATTGAAACGGTTCGTGTTCTTGTAAGAGAGTCGCTCCAAAATCCCTGAGCTACACACAGAGCTAGCCCGAAAGTACTTGGCCATCCTCCAAACCTCAAATTGATTTCTCATCTCTCTTAAGTCCTAAATCCCTCTTCAAATGCTGCAAGCCCGCTGCTGGAATGAATCATTTTGGCATGCAGGGTGTTTGCATGCTGGTGAGCCTCGTTGCAGGTTACGCTTGTTGTGCTCTTATGTCTGCCCATGTATGTTAGTGCATGGTTTATAAGTGCTTACATTCTTAATTGTGTCCCCTTTAAACCCCCTAACTGTAATATGGATTATGAACATGAAAGCAAGATGTCATTACCCTCCAACTCCCCCTCCCCTTACTCAATAGCTTTATTGACGTAGAACTTATACAACAAATGATTGGAAGTGAAATAGCGATTCAAACTCATTTAGAAAGCTCATTCATTGCAGGTATATTTGAGGTGCTTCCTTTGACTCTCACTTTCAGTTTGAATGTCTTCATATGCAGCAAATGTCTGATGCTAGACTTTTATGGAATGGTCATTCAAGCATATAATAGCCAGTGGGCCAATAGCCTGAGCTGACCTCTAAATGAAAAGAAAGAGCATGGACACTTCTATCCATTTAATTGACTTTGTGATTTATTTGTTTGACCAAATGGGGATCTAAGAAGACTAGCACAGTTGTGATTCATAAAGGAAAAGCTGTTGACTAAATGGAAATGATGAGTAGTCTCACTTAGGGCTGTATGATTTTGGGAAAAAATCTAATCGCGATTCTTCTAACAAATATTGCGATATTTGTTTTTTAAGCGTCTATTGTAAAATGCGGCCATATCTCCGGCTAGGAAGGTCGTATCAACGTGCTCCCGTCTCTAGCACCCCGCAGCCCGAGCTACGAGTGAAAGAACTAAACTTACATGAAACTTCCGTTGGGTTGCTTTAAAGTCAAGCTTCAGTTTAAGGTTCACCCTGTAATAGAAACATGTGATGGAGCGTTACTAACCTGACTCAGATAGTTTCACCAAAGCATCTAAAGCTCCATTGGAAGCCATTTGGATAAGGGCAGGCACTTTCAAAAATACTTGGCAGGTGATTGGATCAATCTGTCTATCACCTTCTATCATGGGCCACTTCTGATTGGTTAACAATGGATGGTACATGTGGAGCACAGCACTTCTGATTGGTGTGGATGACTGACACACAATAACAAAAAAAAAAGAATAATGTAATACAAATAAAAATGTAGGCTTTGCGATTTGATAATCGCATCATTTCAAATCACGATTTTGATTTAAAATCAGCCCTAGTCTCACTGAATGGTTGTTAATCTTTGCCCAAGGACTTGTACCGGTATAAAAATAGATCGAGAACACTCACAGAGTTAAGTAAAGTAACTAGCCTCCGGTTTGTACAGCAGTCATATGGCCATGAGAAAACAAAGTCCCTCCTTCTCTCTTTGCATTACATTTAGCTGACGCTTTTATCCAAAGCGACTTACAATAAGTGCATTCGACCAAGAAGACACAAACTTGAAGAAAACGGAATCATATAAGTACATCAGGCTTCATAGAGTTAAAACATTTCAAGTGCTACTCAACTGGCTTTAGATAAGCCAGTCCTTTGTTAGTATATAAGTGCTTTGTTAGTAATGTTATTGCTCGAAGTGGAGTCGAAAGAGATGAGTTTTCAGTCTGCGCCGGAAGGTGTGTAAGCTTTCTGCTGTCCTGATGTCAATGGGGAGTTCATTCCACCATCCTGGAGCCAGGACAGCAAACCCACGTGTTTTTGCTGATGGGAACTTTTGATCTTTTTCTGTCTTACTTACTGTGCAGAACTTCAGAATCTCTTGCTTCAGTAAAGCCTGAAGAAGGAACAATGCTTGGATACAAGATGGTTTGACTTGAGATGGACTCACAGTGGCAGGGTTTGGGATCACCTTGGAATTGAATCGCCAAACCTTTTTTTTGATTTTCTTCCTCCTCTGTCCTTTCTACAGAGTGAGCACTATCTGCTGACCTCCTTTCACCAGAGTGACTTTGCGAATCGAGTCCATTCACTCTCCTACCAACAAAATGTCAGGTAAAGAGTTTTTCTGTATCGATTTGGCGCAAAATAACATTCATTGGGAAGACGGGTTTCTCTACATGTACTTTTTTAATACAATACGATAAATGCCTTTGCCTTTACTTTGGATATATTGTGACGTCTCATTTGAGTTTTCTACATACTTTGCCATTCTCAAAATGCCCTTTATAGTTTTTATCACCTTTTCTATTAAAGTACTAGTTTTTTTGTATCTAACAATCTGTTTCTCCCTCAGGTACCTACACACCAGCCCCTGGTGGGCCCTTCTCTGCTCTCACTCCGAGCATGTGGCCCCAGGATATTTTGGCCAAGTACCATCAAGTGAGGATATGTCTTTATTTATTGTTTAATGTGCAAACCTTCACATGAATGAGTGACAGTAAAACATATTGAAAGGAGAAAAAGACAATTCTGGAATGAGAGGAGAAATGAAAGTAACAATCTGTGAGGCATCTGATAGAGGGACAGAATATTAAGACAAAAACTAGCTTTCACGGGTATTTCACAGTCACGTTTCCTCTTTCATCTACGAATGAACTGCATGTTCTCTTTTGTCTCTACAGAAAGAACCCTCAGGACAGCCTGAACTCCAGTATGATGAGTTTGGCTTCAGAGTGGACCCTGAAGGTATCCTCACATCGAGACATTCACAAACTCCTTCATTTATTTTCTCCTCACTTGTAAAATTCCTAAATCCCAGTAAAACACACAATAAACACAGTAGCTACATTATTTACTCAAATGCATTGATGGCAGAGTTATGAGTGCAACTTTTGTCTTTTATGCCTGGGAGGGGAAAATGTGTTGTACCATTTGAACTCTTCTTTTTTACAGTACATGTAATGCCTCCTATAAAGGGAGGTCTATTTTTGCCTTTGTTATTCAACCACTTATCTCTTATCAACATAACTTTCCCCTGACTCACTTCCCTTCCTTTTCCTTCCATATCCCTATGTTTGGTTACATTAAAGGGGACCTATCATGCAAAATGCACTTTTTGATGTCTTGTATACATAAAGATGTGTCCCCTGTCTTTTGGGGAACTCACGCAGCGTCAGAAAATAAAACCCTCTCTCTTTTCCTCCGTACCCAAATCTCTAAAAACGGGGCTACAACGGAGCTGATCCAGATTTGCGTCCGATATGACATAATATTGGAAATGTGGACCCACGGCACTATCAGAAAGTTGCTATCAGAAACAGTGCCCAACTGTTTTGGACGTAATATGGTCGGTGTTGACATTAGCATCGCTAACACTCAGAGCTAACCTGTACTGGAGAGCATGTGTGTGAAGAAGCAGGAAATAAGGAACTCACCTTGTGGTATAACCGGCAAGAGAGAAAGCCTTTGAGCTCCATACTGTTTCAGAGATAATCCTTGATAATCCATGATATGGCGTTTCATCAAGGCAGTATCTGCCGGTAGCATCTCCCGGTAGCATCTCCCGCATGAGCTCAGCCCCCTCCTTTTCTTTTTTTATCAAATTTTTTTTTTTAAAACTTTATACCCCAAAGCAGCACGTTTGAAACAGGAAGTGAAATAGAGGGATATGAGGCATGGCTAGAATGGGTGATCTGTTTGGTATTTTGAGCAAAACACTTCATATACATGTTTCTTATATTTTTTTATATATCTGAGACCTATGCTATTGCTTACAAATAGCATGATAAAGTTATACCTGATATTATTTTCCCATTCCTCAATTCAAGAGTTCGACTGGGCTTTACTTTAATAATATTATGTTTACAGAGAACACTGCTCACCCCCATATATTACTCTCTCCTCACAGATGATGGGAAGCCCAGGTCCAGGCTTGGCACTGAAGGCTCCCCCCAGCGTGAAGACCCCCAGCAGCGACTGCGCTGGCAAGCCCACCTAGAGTTTACCCACAACCACACTGTGGGAGACCTGACCTGGGATCTGATTGATCCTGTCCTCTCACGCTCTGAGCGGCTGCGTTCCCTGGTGCTGGGGGGTATCCCTCACAGCATGAGACCACAGGTAGGGACAGGGGCTCAGCAGGGACAACTGTTTAATTGGAAGTGCTACACATTGGGCTACAATACTACCCACATTAGCCCGTCCCTTGTTGATATAAAAAATAAATAGTTTTCACTAGAATGCTCCAGATGCCTTTGAGTATTACATGTTTGTTATCTCCAAAGTCACAAAACAGTGATGTAAAGATGCTTTGTTTGTTAGCTGTGGATGCGCCTGGCTGGAGCGCTGCAGAAGAAAAGGACCTCTGAGATCTCTTACAGAGAAGTCATTAAGAACAGCTCCAATGACGACTCCAGCACTGCTAAACAGGTAAAACCACAATCTAATTACATCTAACCAAACACAAACCCATTGCAGAATTCTTACTAAGCATAGTTCTTGAGATCATGTGTAATAATTATTTAAAGTTGAAAACGGCTACTTAAATACAACCAAATCATCGTTATTGGCATATTTAAATTAAATGTATATTTTGTATTATGTATTTAACACGTGACATGTCGTTTGTAAGACATGTTTCTTTCCTGAAATGTGATTGTTCTGTGTTCCCCTCTGTCCCTCAGATAGACAAGGACCTGTTGCGGACGATGCCAACCAACGCGTGTTTCTGTAGCATGAGCAGTGTAGGAGTGCCGAGGCTGAAGCGGGTACTGAGAGCCCTGGCCTGGCTCTACCCAGACATCGGGTACTGTCAGGGCACCGGCATGGTGAGAACACATTATACAGAAAGACTACATTACACTCATATAATTAAACACACAGTTGTAGGAAGCACCTTCCTCAAATGTTATACATTGTATCCTCGTCCTATTTTTTACTGTCTCCACCTTCACTGATACCCTTGTCGTTGTCCTGACACTTATGTGTTCTCCCCCACAGGTGGTTTCCTGTTTGCTGCTCTTTCTGGAGGAGGAGGATGTTCTATGGATGATGTGTGCCCTGATCGAAGACCTCCTCCCTCCAGCCTACTTTAGCTCCACTCTGCTGGGTGTCCAAACAGACCAGAGGGTTCTCCGCCAGCTCATCGTTCAGTACCTGCCGGCCCTCGACCGTCTTCTCCAGGAGCATGACATAGGTAGGGGGTGTGGTGTTGAGTCAGAGAGGCAACATGGGCATTCAAAATGCATACTAACTACTATTAATTTAACTTAAAAAAAAACTGTTACCACCATATTTGATCCTTCTGCTGAACCTTTATTAAAAAAGGAAAATAAATTGTTTGGGAACTCGATCTTATGATAGAATTGGTGTTTGGAATATAGAGCTGAGTATAAACTGCATATAACATACAGTTTGTAATCCTTCCTTCTTCACATGCAGAGTTGTCGCTGATCACACTTCACTGGTTCCTGACCTCATTTGCCAGCGTGGTGGACATCCGTCTGCTCCTAAGGATCTGGGACTTACTCTTCTACCAGGGCTCGTTGGTTCTCTTTCAGATCACACTGGGCATGCTGAAGATCAAGGTAATTGCACTAAACTGCTTGTTTTTGTGAGTTTCTACTCTTAAATCAGTTAATATTGTGCTGAGAGGCTTTCTGTCACTCAGTGTGGTCAGTAACCTACTTGATTTTATTTTTTAAATTATCCAAAAGTCATCTTACAGCCAAGTCTGCTAACAGACACACGTACTGTATAATGCCAGAAAACAACATCTAACACCAACTATTCTATGTCTCTTCCTCAAAATGACAGTTTTTGTTGATTATTGATGCTTGAATATTTTACTCTTCATTCCCAGGAGGAGGAGCTTGTATCATCAGAGAACTCTGCGTCCATCTTTAACACTCTGTCGGACCTGCCGAGCCAGCTGCGAGATGGGCCCGCAGTTCTCGGGGAGGCTATGAGGCTAACAGGGTCGCTAACCCAGGAAACACTGGAAGCTCACCGGCACAAGCACCAAGCCTACATCCTCAACGAACAGGCGCAGCTCAGCAATGGAAACAACACAACATACAGCACCAATCTCAACAAGGTCAGATTCAGTCTGTATGTAATATGAATAACTATTATAGAATAAACAAGCAACGTCAAGTTTGTGTCTAGCTGTGCGAACTGGAGTCGCATGATCTGAGCAAATTAAGTCTGTGTCCTTAATCTTGACTGTAAAACATTTTTTTCTAACCATCCTGTGTTTATGCGTTCAGGCGGTGAGGAGACAGTCTCTGCGCAGGAAGTCCACTCTGAGCTCCCTGCTGTTCGGGGAGGATGAAGCAGAGACCCTGAAGTCCAAGAACATCAAGCAGACAGAGCTGGTGGCAGCCTTACGAGAGGCCATCACCCGCACTGCAGAGCACTTTCACTGTCTGGACCCTCGGCACTCCAGCGCTGTGAGTTCTCACACTGCAGCACAGGGACAGTGTGTATGTCTCATGGAAAATGTATCAAGCAAAATAACAGGAGAATTGAAGGGGGCCTCCCGTTATTTCCTGGCATGTTAGACTAAATGCTATTCATTTCTATAACCAAACTCCTCCCTTCTCTCTAGGAGCTGACTCCTGACTACTCCATGGAGAGCCACCAGCGAGACCATGAGAACTTTCTTGTAGTTTCTCGCACCAGACGGAGGCGGGCTAAGGCTCTGCTGGACTTTGAGAGACACGACGACGACGAGCTGGGGTTCAGGAAGAATGACATCATCACTGTGAGTCATGCCTTGCTCGATGACTCACGGAAACCAAAAAAAAGCTTTCTGTGGTTTCTAACCTTTCGCTCTGAATCTGATACAGCTGTATTTTCCATCTTTCCCCTTCAGATCATCTCACAGAAGGATGAACACTGTTGGGTTGGAGAGCTAAATGGCCTAAGAGGTGTGTGGGCTTTTTCTTAAGCATCAGCACCGTGTTGAATCTTTTTGGTTCTATATACTAGTGCTGGGGGGAAACGATTATTTTGAAAACGATTAATCGGGCGATTATTTGATCGATTAGTCGACTAATCTAACGATTATTTTTCTGTTGTTCAATTCATAAAAAACGTAATGTAAAAAAAAAATGTTTCACGACACTGTGTCTCAGGGGATCTTAATATTTAAGAACCTATTAATGTGTTATACCAGATTAACGGAAATAATCTCAGCTAACTGACGATACAAACGATGTTTACCAAAACAAAACACAAGTCTCATAAGAAGCATCTAAATTACCCCTGAGCGAAAAATGCTAACGGACATTGGCACAGATCTCAAGATAAAAGTACCCTTATTACTTATCATAGTTGCACTTACAATATATCCGATTAAAGCTGAGACTCCACAGATTATGTAGGTACATAGTATCATCACTGAGTGATCCGGACTCGCGACAGGGGAAGCAAATACTGTCATCACAACACGTACCTTCAGAGCTTCTAGGGAGATCGTCTCACCGCCGTAGCTGTCAATCTGATCAAAAGACGTGTTCAATGGCATTAAAATGAGAAAAAACGCGGCTGAATCTGTTAATCCATAGGTTTTTAACGTCTATGTATAAAAAAATTATTGAATTTATAATCCATAATTCAATTTTTATGTAAAAATCGGAGAGCAAATGCTAGCTGCTAATGGTAGCCACCACAGCTAGCTGCTGCTTCCGGTCTAGGCAATGTCTCAGTGAGATATAAATATATAAATATCTTTGCGTTTTGGACTAACTTTAAAATATTCCCATGCTTTTGAAGACCTAGGGCGAGATGTTTTCGTTTGAGGGCTTCGTGCGCAATCCTGTGAGGAGGAGGTGGTAGCCGTTTCAGTCTCCATTGTGTTTGAAGTGCGATTGCGAACTGCTTGTTGCTTTGGGTGACCCACGTGTGTGTAGCGACGCGTCGACGCGGAAATATGTCGTCGACGACGTAGCGACGCGTCGACGCGGAAATATGTCGTCGACGATATTTTGAAGTCGACGCGTCGCTACAGCACTACTATATACTGTTGCAGCTTATTGACATTTTCTATTCTAACAGGTTGGTTTCCAGCGAAGTTTGTGGAGATCCTAGATGAAAGAAGCAAAGAGGTATGGAATCAGTTAATTATCCGCTTAATGAGAAAGGATGTTTTTATGCTTACTTTTAGACGAGTATTTGAATGTTAACTCCATGTTGTTCTTTCCTTCTGCTCACCTTCAGTATTTGTGTCTGTCCCCAGTACTCATTAGCAGGCGATGACTCTGTGACGGAGGCAGTGACGGACCTGGCCCGGGGGACACTGTGTCCGGCCCTGAAGGCCATCTTTCAGCACGGGCTCAAGAAGACATCTCTACTGGGAGGGCCCTGTCATCCTTGGTTATTCGTTGAAGAGGTAGGAGATTCATATTTCTTTTAATATTGCAGGTGTATCAAACTCATCATGGGACTAATCCCTTTCTCTTTTCTCTCAGGCGGCCAGTAGAGAGGTAGAGAAAGACTTTAACTCTGTCTACTCCAGACTGGTGCTGTGTAAAACCTACAGGTAAAACCCTTATTTTTAAATAAACATTCAAGAGGAATGCTTCACCCACAAAATGACAATTTGATCAATTACATAACCCCTGTTACCTTGAAAATACAATCTCTCGCTCAAAAAGCTTGGATAGAAAGCCAACCGGTTTATAACCAAACAAACTTGGGATCTAACCCTTTACCTTCAGTTAGAACTAAAGTGTGCTCTGGCAATGGCAAGTGGAATCGGCTTTCAGTGTGTATGCCTGAAGCATAATAAGATAACGACTTGTTCTCTGCCGTATTTACCAGGTTAGACGAAGATGGGAAAGTACTCACACCAGAGGAGCTGCTGTACAGGGTGAGTGTCCTTAACTCAATGTGTAACATCTGTAATTGGGTTTTCTTCAGCTTAATGTGCAGCTTGCCTCTAGGAATGAATGTTAGTAGAAAGTAATTGAGCGCCCTCTGTCTGCTCCTCCCAGGCGGTGCAGTCGGTCAACATGAGCCACGACAGCGCACACGCTCAGATGGATGTCAAGTTTAGGTCTCTGGTCTGCGTCGGCTTAAAGTGAGTTCTCGGGAGAACTGCACACACACACACACACACACACACACACACACACACACACTGGGGCTGTTTGGTTCTTAACGGTTATCTTCCCCATCAGTGAGCAGGTGCTCCACCTGTGGCTGGAGGTGCTGTGCTCCAGCATGGCCGCTGTAGAGAAATGGTATCATCCATGGTCCTTCCTCCGCAGTCCTGGATGGGTACAGATCAAGTGTGAGCTCAGGTAAGAAACACCTGTTTTGATCTCAGATTAGAGCATCTTTCAAGTCAAAGTTGGTTGCAGTGGAAAATTCAAGCAAGCAAAAAAGCAGAAATGGCTAAATAGGATAAACCACTGGCAAACGTATTACTACATTTCCAAAGCTTGCTTGCCATATTAAGTACTTAATACTCCACTGCAGTATCTTCCACATGTACCGCACATAATCCAGCAGTTTAAACATATTAGTTTATACCCCAAAAGGACTTTAAACAACAAAAAATGAAATTGAGTAAAAATATGGACACATTATTTGTCCAAAAAAAACAACAATAAGCAGTCTACCATTGTTGTCTCCTCAGAGTGCTTTCAAAGTTTGCCTTCAGCCTCTCCCAAGATTGTGAGCTACCTGACAAGAAAGAGGTGAGCCCAACACTTCATTTTACTTCTTTGTTGTGGTTGTAAGGTATACTTTATTGATTCTTTATATTTTAAATATTTATTTCAAATCTTTGAATATTCTTAAAAAATCTTTTGCTTTGATGTCTTTCCCAGGAGAATGAGCAGAGACCCCTGAAGGAGGGAGTGCAGGACATGTTGGTGAAACATCATCTCTTCAGCTGGGACATTGATGGCTAGACACACACAGAAACACTCGTCTGAATCCTACTGCGTCCTCCTGTCTGTGTTTGTGTGATGTCTCCTTATCTGTCACTTACAGACTGTCAATTATAATTAAGACACTGTTGTCTGCTACAGGAAGTGACTGCTTCATCGGTCACGTCACTGTTCAGCCAGTTCTGAAACATGTGTGCATTAAAGTGCATACTTTATTTTACTTCTGTAGGAGATTACACTACATGGTGCAAAACGATATAGTAAAACACTGCAGTACAGATGAGTCTGTACCCATGAAACTGGAGCTCTCGTGTGTCCAGTACGTATACAACTCCCTGCTGGACATTCAGCTTTCATAGCCGAGTGCATGTTTTGTGCAGGAGTGAGCGTTCACTCTCTTTCATTAGTTGTTACAACAGCAGCGGGTCATCACCACGAGAAACCCTGGACCTTTAACACGGTATTAAATGCCACATTAACCTTTAAATACCCAGATATTAAGACCAAAACAGAACATTCCTAAATATGGAGCTGTAAAGTTACAAATTATTTTTGAGAGGGATGTTAGTTACCTCAAATATCATGAACTCTACGAAACATTTCATTAACTACTAAATGTTGCACATGCCAAGTAAAGCCTTTTCAAATAGTTATACAAGATTATGGCTATGTGTGCTACCTTATCAGTGGTAGTGAAGTCTGCACTCGTATGACATGTAAATGACGCAGATAAATACTTTTTTGTGCTACAATCTATAAATAAATGTGAAATAGCCTATACAGTCATTTGTTATGTTTTTGTATATACGTGAATATATATTTTGCTTGTGACTAAATGTGCCCTTGCGAGTTAAAGCGATTTAACATGGGACTTTATCATTCTTACTTACTGATTACCTTTAGTTCTGACTTAACTGCACATACATCAGGAAACAGGGACATTTTTGGGAATGTATTTATTCAAACTGTTGAGCGTTCGTGATGTTCCACTGTATGAGGGGACTGGAGAAGTATGATGTACTAATTCAAGTTGCAAAACATTTTCATTTGCATCATACAAAGGATGTTGGATTTACATGAACTGTCTCTTCCCCATGTGCAGAACATTTAATGAGCTTGGCTTTTTGTGATCATAGTCATTGTAGCTTGTGTAAAACATATTGTCAACAATTACAAATGTAATATTGTCTGGATCTGTAAAATATGGAACTGAGGACTGCACAGCTCTCCTCTTAATATTGAAGAAGACTAAGACCAATCCATCCTTATTTTTTCACTTTAACAAATCAAATCCATAGTATTGAAATTGTATAATATATATTTTGCTGAAAATGGACATAGAAAAAGCCACACTGTTGAAGGTTCAGTAAAGCCTGTTTATTGATGGTCAGTTTTTTAGAGTGTATTTAAAATGTCACAACATGTAAACAGCGACAGGCCATAACGCATGGGGTACTGGAGTAGCACTGCGAGTACTGCATGTCTTATAATCATGAGGAGTGACAGGACGATGTGCTGTATTTGTTTGTACTAACACTATTTGTATAACGTTTCTAACATGGCTGACTGACAGTGGAAGTATGATGGTTTCTGCTGAATCTGAGGAGTGCAAGTGAGAGCAGAATGAAGACCATCAGAGCGAGCTTTCTGCATGTATGCCAAATAAATACCTGACAATTATAAAACGCTTATATTTTCAATATATCTGGAGATAAAACCCTATGTGCCCTCTGCTACATTCATTTCTGATTTGCATACATTTTGTACAATTCCATCTTTCCAATTGGAGCACAACTACAGGCTAATTTACATATGCAGTATAAATAGTACATTAATTGGTTTTCATTGCAAATACACAAGGAATGCACGGAGTAGTTTCACGTATAGCTGCTCATGCCGATGCTGGAACTGTTCAGGGGGTTTGGCCTCCTTCCCTTGCCATTGACATCGAGCCAGAAAAATACATTGTCAATTTCATAGAGGCATAAATTATGGGTTAAATTAAATAAAAACATCCTGAGTGAGGCTTACCTCAAAAACCACACTGCTATCAATCACCCAAACTCGTTAAAGAAAAGCAAAGGCAGCTGATGATAAAATGCATTTAGGGACACACCCCACTGTGTACCCTTTATAAACTATGACCTGGTGTCAAGAGGCAAGGAGTGATGAGACTGAGGAGTGTCTCGCTCCAAGCGTCATGGTTTGTGGAATGAAGACACTTGGTGTTGGAGTGATATTTTAGAGGGAGGTTTACAGGGGTTGGGGGGGGGGATTCAGGAGCCTCCTGTTCCTGACGAGGAGGGGGCTGCTGTGGAGTTGCTGCTGTTCTGGCCTTTTCCTTTGTGCCTCTGGCCGCCCCTTCTCCTGCCACCTCCTCCAGACTTTGGCTGCAAGGGAGAGATAAGGAGAACACTCGATAAGGCACCTCCATGACCGAATATGTTATTTACTCAATGTATCAAGATCACCTGGCTATGAACTCAACTATCTTGCTTTAGCCAAAACACAACCTCCAGTGTTCTTGTTTTAGTTTTAATCGACCTATTTTACCTTGTTCTCTTTGTTGCCCTCCTTAATCTGAGGGTCTTCATCCCCCTCTCCCTTTGGAAGCTAGCCACGCAAGCAAAGTGGGGTTGGGTGGGTTAAAAATAGTAGTGATGAAGTAATGAATGAGTGTGAGCGTGAGTGGTGGATAAGATAAAGCAAGAACATAACCAAAAGGAAGGAGGACACAATGCAGTTAGAACAGAGCTGCAGTGTTAGGGCAAGTTTACATTAAGAGATTCACTACCTCACTAAATAGCACTTTATAAAGTAGCATGTCTAACCGATTGTGTTGCGTTTGGGCCAGCTGACTGTGATATCGTTGGAATATCGTCCCCGGTTGCCGTGGTGCCGTCCTCTCTGTGCAGCGGTGCTTTCTTTGTGGACTGCATCTTGATTTGGGGAGGTTTGGAATTTGATGGTAAATTATTGGTAGATTGCAGCAGCTGAAAAGAGTGAGAGTCGATATAAGAGTCTGAAGAAGATTGTTTTAAAAAAGGTCGATGTGTAAAAGTAATGTGTTGATGTTTGTTGTTGTCTTTAAAAAATCTAATAAAAGTATTTCTGAGGAAAAAAAGTCGATATATTTGAGCCTGATGCCCTCACCAAGAGAAGATATCAGGTTGTTCATTCCATCATTGTAAAGGAGAAAAAATACTCATTATTCCTTAAATATTCAGTTATGTGCCCTCACACTGCTTTACCTTAGTGATGGTTCCCACAGCCTTGGTGCGCCCCTCCCTGAACACCAGCCTCTTGTCGCAGTGCAGGTACTCGGGGGTCTTTATGAAGCGGAAATGGACCGAAGCCTTGTCCCCTGTCCGTAAGCAGTCTCTGTTCATAGACAAGATGGTGGCAGTCTGCCTTATGCTGCCACAGTGGACTGAGTGGAGGGTAAGGAGAAGGAAAATAAACGTTAACATTTTGTTTCTTATTAAAGAGTCACTTAACGGGAACTTATTGCTTAAGTGTTTCTTTGAGAGGGTGTTGAGAAATTGCCCTGTACTTCTATATAATCAAATCAATGTTGGCTACTAATCTTGAAGGCAATTAAATGTTCAGTCAATATTTTAAAGCTGCTTTGGAAACCCACAAAATTGTAATTTTTCCCTCCAACTCCCTGTCCCTTCTTCCACACCATTGTTACCCACCCATGGCCTGGTATCTGGGGGATATCGTAGTGGGATGATGCAGTACCAGGATCTCAGCCTCAAACTCCCAAGTGGCCTGTGGGCAGACCCTCGGGGAAACCATCACCATGCCCTTCCTGATGGTCGAACGCTTGATCTATACAAAGGGGTAAGGATTACATAAGAACCAGACAGAGGAAAAACATCAGAGGAATGTCAATTTTTCAAGACTGTTTTAATGATTTCTATAAAACATTTCGGCATGTTTTTTGAGCTGGAAAAAATAAAGGAAACAATTATACATTTGACCATTCAGGTTTTATAAAACCTTTCTCCCAAAATATACAAATACACAGTTTGAACAGCCAGTTAATTAAACCAGACTTTAAAAAATGCCCTCCCAGATTTCCCTTACCTTTTTGAGAGCGAATGAGGCAGTCTGGCCCCCTCTGACCTCCTTCACAGGCATTCTCTTACGGTGGATTGATTTCACAGCAATGGGGATGAAGCTGCCTAAGGGGTCCGGCCCTAGTAGCATTGTATCATTCAGTCGTATGAGTCCACGTAAAGTAGTGCCAGAAACTACTGTTCCCACTCCCTTCGGCATAAAAACAAAACCGGTGTAAACATTCAAATGTGGTAACGGTTGTCATGTGTTAGGTTTGCACCTGTAGCATGATACTCCTTCACTCTATGCTGTTCACTAGGTTAAGTGATTTGTATCTTGGTAACTTACCGGTACAGAGTATGTGTCGTCTATCTGAAACTCAGCGGGCTGGTCGTCTCTGTAGGACGTCCTGGAGGAGAGCAGGTTGAGAAACATCTTGAGCAGGTCCATGTTCTCCCCGCTAACATTGGAGATCTGAAAGATTGGACACATCCTGTGAAGAACAACACAAACATGTTAGAAAAGATAAACTGTTTCACTCTTACTCTGAATCTGGCCAGGATAGTCTTTGTACCTCTCTGAACTGAAGTTTGAAGCAGTGACTATTACATCATCCTTGTTCTGTACGAGGACGGGTATCTTCCTACAGCCGGGCGACTTCAGTAGCCTCTGGAGCAGCTTCAGTGTCTCTAGGAGCAAAGTATCACAACAAGTTTTTTTTAAGTGTTTAAAGTCAGGTACAGAACAACATTTTCATTAAAAGCTACGCCAATCGACACACACTCACTTAACTCATCCTATTGTTACATTGTGTTTTCAGATGTAAGAAAAAAACACATTTCAGGAGTTATAAAAGAGACTGACCTTGCAGTATGTTGGCCGGACACATGTCTATTTTGGTTACCACCACGAACACAGGCACATTCAGGGCTAAGGCCAGGCCCAGGTGCTCTTTGGTCATCCCTACGATACCTGCATTACTGCCCACCTGGCGAGGCAGGGAGAGAGAAAAATCTTTGTCTATATTTTAATAAAAGAAATAAGCAAAAAGGGTATTTGTTGTACAATGTAGACACTGAGACATTTTACATTTGGGTACATTATAAATCTTGTAATGGTTTCATCCAAAGTTGAAATGTTGAACTGCTTGTGTAAAGATAGAAACAAAACATGCAGGCAGATACTTTCATGTTTTTGTAAAAATATGGCACACATTCATGATATTCACCAGCATAATAACATCATAATATTTCCTCCTTCCTGATCCCCCTTCTCACCATAAGCATGCAGAAGTCAGGCAGGTGTCCGGTCATCCCAAACACGGTGGTCTTGAGGTATTTCTCATGTCCGGCCAGGTCTATAAAGGTAATTACTTTGGAGGACTTCTCACAGATTTGAGTCCAGTCCAGGCTCCCACCATGACTATCTGGTTTGTTCACCACCTAGGGGCACACAAGTATTATTGCATTTAGAATGATAATGCTATTGAAACTTAATTTAACTCAATCAAATTAGCTATATTTCTGATGCTTAAACAACCATTCTTTCAGAAGCACCTCTCACCTGTCCCTCCTGGTCGAAGCCCAGGATATCGTTGCCCACGCTGCTCGTCCTGCCGCTCTCCATCTCGTGTTTGTGTCTGAAGAGCTTTTGCCGGGCAAATCCCCTGCCATTGTCCAGCTCGCCATGCGTTAACACTCCCAGCAGAGTACTCTTACCAGCATCCACATTACCCACGACTGCAACCCTGAGAAAGAGAGGGCAAGACATTTTAACCAATGTAGTGAAAAAGAAAGAGG